TGTTTTCGTCCTGACTATAGATTCCTTCATGGTAAGCAAATCGCACTTTGAGTTTGTTGTTTAAATAGCATAGATCTGTACTGTATGAATTTAGTAATTGCACAATTTTTTCCTCTTTTGTAAAACCTTTAATGGGTTCTTTCAATTCTAGCATTTGATTTACGACTTGACCTAATGCTAAATATGGTGTTGCCGAATGTATAGATGAAAGGTTTAGGTAGCAAGTGCGTAGTCCCTTGTTTTTGACATATCGATGTAACGACTCTAAAAGCCTGGTTTTTCCTGAGCAGAGATCGCCAATTAATAAAAGGGCGTCGAAATCTCTATGTGACAGATGACTGTCGTCGATCCAATTTTTGAAGTATTCAAATTCATCAATGCGATTTAAAAGTGGTGGCGTAACCGGTATGTCGTATAATTCTTTCACTCTTATTTCCTCGGTGTACTCGTAAACTTTGCCTGGATGATTTATGCCTTTTAATTCGGCCGTTGGTTGGAGCGTGAATCCATTGCTAGACATTTTGCTTTTAACAAAAGTAGTTTCATCACAAGTAATTTTATTGCGAAAATAACACATGAATCTTGCAGCTTTATTAACAACAGCTCCGATGACAGTAAATTCTCTGCGTAGAGGGTGACCAACAACGCCACAGTAAACTTGTCCAGTTGTTACGCCAATAGACACTTCTAGGACACCGTCTAGAGCCGACAGCGATTTTTTAATCCCGGATGCACATTTTAAGGCCGCTTGAGCTTCGGACTCGTGCTTAAAACCTCGAAGGCCGAAAATCACAAGAATCATAACATCTTTGTCGAAAAGGATAATTTTGTTGACGCAACCCATAGATTTGTAAACAATTTCACATGTTATTTGGTAAGAATTATTTACTATAGTTATCAGTTGCGGAAAAGGACATTCTCTTGGTTTAAGAGTTATGAATAATACGGAAACATGTCTCATTTCGGTTAAATACTCTAACGGTTGGTGAGCATCAATTTGGGTAAGGACAGGTCTGATCATAAATTTACGAATGTCCGATCCAATCTTTCTTTCTTCAGCAGCCAGTATGGTTTTACGAAGGCTAAGAGCATCTGTTCCTTTAGACGATTCTATGCAAGTTTTGCTCTTATTTATTTCTAAAATGCATTCTGGTAAATTTTCGACACCAACAAAGGGTTTTTTTACCTGTCTTATCATACCCCCAAAGCCTAGAAAAGGTTTAGTGACATCTTTCTCACGAGGATCATAAAGGATCGATCTTATTGTGACATGGCCATCATCATGAATAATATAATCATAATTCCTAGAATAGCAGTGACCCCAAGCGGTCGGAGTTAGTTTTACTTCACCAGACATACAAAGACTTTCTGCAGTTTTCGCTTCGAGCACAGGCAGACCAATTATTATGTAATTCATATCTATGCCTTTACCAATTGTAGAAAATATGAGATTTCCAGCGGATATTGCCAGTTTGACTTTCAAATTTACTTTTACATCTGTTTCATATGATCCAAATGAATGTTGGATAACCAGAGCACACGCTATGGCAGTATGAATGGTGTGATTGAGGTATGTGCGCTTGTCGGTCTTCCAAAGCGCGAGAAATGCGTCTCCCGCAAACTTTAAGATGTCGCCACCGTGAGTGTATATAACCTCGATAAGGGAACCTAGATAAGTATTCAATGTTACGGTCAGGCGATACGTACCACCTTTGCCGGTGTTCGTGTAACGTTCAGATAGCGCTGTATATCCAGATACGTCCGCCATTAAGAGCACTCCGACGAACCTGTTTGGTTCTGATTTTTCATCAAAACTGAAATGATTTATCGCATTTTTAAACAACCTTTTAAAAAACTTTTGAGTTTCATAATAAAACATTTTTACGAAAACGTTTTAAGGTTAATTTGATTTTTGGAGTCGAAGTTGCGTAGTATTACTTTACAAAATTAAACCAACTCATTCACCGGAACAATAAACAAAGGTGTTAAATATTGCGTTTGGATTTTCTGCGAATGTGCCGAAACCGAAAGGTGGGATAAGCGCAGAAGGAAGGAAAGACGACATTACGTACATACTTTTCTAATAGGAGTATTTCGTCGGGAACCATCGTCGCAAGGAGCAACGTTTGTTTCTTCGATAGGCATATTTCTACATCTTGATCGATTTGGTCGGTGGACATAGTGTTTCGACCAAAAAATTCTTGCGTCCAATCTTTAAGATTAGCGCTTTTAGGTTCTTCTTCTTCTGTTGATGAATCACTTTCTTCTGTCAAATCGCTATCGACGTGTGATATCCTTTTAGGGAAGCTACGCCACTTTTCCATATTTATCATTGTATTTAGAGAATTTCTTTTCGAGCGCGCTCTTTGCCTGCGAAAGTTCATGTCTATTCTTGTTTATATGATTATATTAAAACTGAAAATTTTGGTAATCGTGTAACACGATTATCTTAACCTAATCTTGCCTACTAAATCTATATGGCTGTTTGTATTTTATTTAACTTGACAAATGGATGTAACTGTAGGATTCGTAAAACATACATGAGTTCAAGTTCAATGTGCTTTATAATTATTGCATGTAAAAAAAATTCTCTGAAACAATTGCTAATTTTCACCTTTGATTCATCACTTTTGGTCAATGGTGAAATAAACTTTAACTGTCACGACGTTATGACCGGTACAGATATATAAAATTAAACTCTATGGCACCGATTTCAATTTTTTCGACCAAATCACGCTATACCAATGATATAATTTCAAATTTAATACGAGGTAGATATAACACTAGCACACGAAAACTGAGGCACTCAAATTACGCCAATTGGTGTAATTAGATTGCAACTCAATAGATTGCTATCTGTCTCATATTTTTAAAGACATGACATTTATAAATACTATGCCCCTAATATAGAGTTTACATTTTATATTGATTAAAACTACTCACAGCGCAGTCTATTATTAGCCCTGTGAATATTAACTTGATATGGGAAAGGAAATTAAGCCGCGTTTTGATTTCACTTGAAATCGCTACATAAAATACGTTATATTAAGAAATTGACGATACATGCAAAATGTTTGTTTTGTATCTAACATTGACAATCGAACAAAAATAATTAGTAATACCTCGGGTCAACTGGGGACTGTTAGCAGGTACAAAGAGACAATTTCATTAATTCCAGTTCACATAATAATCAAATGTGTTTGGTTAAAATAGAATTGTGATTGAAATACGGCCTTGTTTTATATGACAAGGACAGTGTGGCTTAAGTCATTATTCAAAAAAGTTTTCACTCAGAATCAATTCAAAAAGACACTTTTTGTGTTTACCACATTGGTATATTATGCTTTCTGCAGCCGTCACAATTGTACTACTTATTTTTTATTTTACTTTTGTTGACTAATCATATTATTATCAATGGTGTTCTATTTAAATAACTAATAAAATTATAATACTGCCTAAGATATAAGACTGCCTAAACAATAACTGATTTTAATATTATTCTCTTCGATTCTCCGATATTATTTTTCCTTTATTTGCCAAATATAATGCTGAATTTACAAAAAAACTTTTTAAGAAAAACGCGGCAATCATATTTTATACATATATAATAATATATTAAGGTGTCCCAAAATTAACGCAAGGTTTGAATTAAATAGAAAACAAAGTTTTATATTTAATTCAAACCTTGCGTTAATTCAGTTTTAGACTAAGCAGACGCTGTGGGCAATGGTGTTTAATAATATAGATGACGCATGTCCATACTGTGCGGCATTTTAAAATTGTTCCGCTTTACGTTACATGACATATGTAAGTGAATGTGACAGATGATATGGATCGTATGGTATGGAAAAAGATAGCAGTTTATAGCATTGCAATCTAATTACATCAATTGGTGTAATTGTAGCGCCTCAATTTCGGTGCGCTAGTGTCATATCTTTGTATATTATATCACTAGCTTTTCGCCTGCGGCTTCGCTCGCATTGAAGCCCTGAAATAAATATCTTTCTTTATAAAAATCCAATTAAAGAATAGCCTATGTACTTTCTCAGGCTCTAGACTATCTGTGTACCAAATTTCATTTAAATCGGTTCAGTAGTTTTGGCGTGAAAGCGATACAGACAGACAGTTACTTTCGCATTTATAATATTAGTATGGATTGGTTGTGGGTGAATTCGTTATTCAATATTCAAGTAATTACGTGGCTTCTCCGAACCCCGAACACGGAGATTTTTGGGATTAATTAGCAAAGCCTTCAAGGTGAAAATGTGCTTCAAGGCTTAGGATGATTTTGCTCGAAAAATCAACATCCACTTGTTGATGTTCAATAATCCATTCGACGAACTCTCTCACTGTTCGTGGTCACTGGGCATTAGTCATATGTTGTGTTAATTGAAGTTTGTAAGCATGGAGACATAGAACCTTCTACGAGCTCGCTTTTCATTTAATATACTCGATCAACCTGAGTTCGATCCCCGTTGTCGGCAACAATGCATTTGTTAGTTTTAAGTGCTGACTTGCTCAGCGGTCATTGAAAACATTGTGACGAAACCTGCATCTTTTAGGGTTGCCGAAAATTAATTCGAAAGTCGTAGAAAATTTTGCGTTATTCTTGGGGCACCCATTATGTATGCAAATACAAAACTAAATACAAATGTTAAAACATGATTGCGGCGCAGTTCCTATTTTGTTAAATTAATTTTAACCCTTAAGCAAATTCAGTTAATTTGTTTAAGAGCAAAGTTGTCACCAACTTTATAGTCCAATTATCTCTCTAAATATAACATGTTGCATTCTGTCAATTGAAAGGAACTGTATTCATGGCATACTTTAAATGCCACCACGGACAAACCAGTTAAATTATAATGGAGCGTGTTAATAGAATACCGCAAACAAATAAAGTAAGCTCAAGTATGCAGTCCCGTGTTGATCATTGTAGCAGCAACACTTGTATAAGGTTCTTGTAATATATACACCTAAAAATATAGCAAATATTTTGAAAAATGGATCAAAAAGGCAACACATTTCTAAACAAAGCTATAAAGATTATTATGGAAGAACGTAATGGAAATGTACCTCTTATAGAGTTTAAGAATCCGAAAGAGTTGGAGGTAGGTTAATTTTAACAGTTTAATATTTTACTTTAATATAATCGACTTTGAAAATTTTATGATATTTTTTGTTACTGAATATCGGATTGTCTTATATATATATTCTCGATTTTTAAATGTGTGTACTGGTCAACGTATATAAAAATGAATCGCTGAATGTGTTACTCAGATAAGCGCAAATCTCTAGAACAGCTGAACCGAAGTGTAGTAGAGGGATTCCGGGAAGGAAATAATTGAATAACGTTAGTATCGTATGAATATTAATGTCAATATATTTCAATATTTATACGATGGAAAAATTACTCAAAAACAAATTGTTTATGGTAAAATGTATACTGTCTGTGGTAAAATGTCACTTGTAATGTAAACCTCTCTTTGCTGTGCATCATCACTACATAGTATAAAACAAAAGTCGTCCCGCTGTCTGTCCGTCCCTATGTATGCTTAGATCTTTAAAATTACGCAACGGATCTTGATTGAGTTTTTTAGTTTATTCAGTTTTATTGAAGAGGAAGGTTTATATGTATAATACATTGCACCCGTGCGAAGTCGGGCGGGTCGCTAGTCTATAATAAATCTATATCTTTACGTATAATAAATATAACTGATCATTGTTTGTAAGTCAACTAACACTTAATGCTAAGCTTCACTTAGCATTAAGTGTTAGTTGCGCACGAAGGGATATTTATATATATATATATAAATATACATATACAGCGTGTCGTTACCATCGCGACAATAAACGCGACAACACACGTCTAACGCTACTTGCCAATAATCATAAAAAAATATTAACGTTAAACAAAATCCATAATTTAAAAAATATATTTTTCAAAGAAACTAATTAAGTAAAAAAGAAACGAAATTTGTAACATCCTATACAACTCGCGCCACAGCGTCGTATTAGAAGCCTCTCCTTCTAACAGTATGTTTTGTCTCTTTTAAATTCATTCAACCCATTCATTTCCTTTACAAATGAACTTTACGTTACGCTTTTATACGTAAGGGTGTTCTAAAATTCTTTGTTTTGGAAAATTTAATAACTCTGTAAATATTGATGTTTAAAGAATTTAAATGTTTAATACAACTTTAAAAAGTTATCCTCTATATGCGTGTTCATTTATTGTCGCGATGGTAACGACACGCTGTATAATAATAAACAATTTGTCCTTTTTTCGATAGACCGATTTCTATGTTTAATACTGTACAAACTTTATGATTTTTAGTACAGGCATTCATAATCATACCTACATTTCATTCGTTTGTTCATATTGTTGTATTATTCGAGTTCACAGAATAAAAATATATTATATATATATTTATTCTGTTTTTTAGGGTTCCGAACACAAAGGGCCCTATTACTCCGCTGTCTGTCATTTTGTCTGTCTGTCTGTCTGTCCGTCTGTCACCAGGCTGTATGTCATGAACCGTGATAGTTAGACAGATGGAACTTTAAAACAGGCATACAAGAGACATATTTTTTTGCCGTTTTTACAGATCCAACTCGAACTTAGCCGGTATTTTTAGTATTGGTTGTTATAGTGGCAAAAGAAATATATCATTTGTAAAAATTAGAATTGTCTATCACAGTTCATGAGATACAGCCTGGTGACAGATGGACAGACTATATCGTCTGTCATATGTAATGACACCTTGTCTGCGGCACATAAAGTCATATACCATCATTTGGTGCGTTGGCAGGTCGAAATGCGCCCGCCAGTGCGTGGCGGAAATATCGGTGGGCGCACCACCAGCACTGGGTCGATTAAAATGCTATAAATTTTTGCGAAAATACGAGTTTATTTGTACTGTTCGAATGACCTTGAGCCCAACTTCCTTAGTTTCATTTCGCCCCTGGATCTGTTAAGCAGAAAAAGAGCCAGGAACCAGGGAAAGCGACGGGCCCGTTTCTACCTGAACCGCACTAGAAAGTATTTTTAGTAGTTATGGGACGGACAAATACAGGAGGACATGTTTATTAATAATATAAATCTAAATGAATATATATACATATATACCTATGTTTCATTCCTGTATCTTCATGAAACATTAGAGCCGATAGATAATTTAATTAAAGAAGAAATTAATGACTGTATTTAAAAGAGTTTATTAACGATATGTTAATTTGTAAATCCAATGAATATTAAACACATGTTAATTACTAAAACATCGCGTTTACTTGTTCCAGTTCAGTTCAGTTCAGTGCAAGTTGCATTTTAAATGAAAACATTTTATTATATTCTCCATTTATCATTTCGTATGCAATGTTTTTATTAAGCATCAAAGTTCCTTCATTTAACAGTATAAATAATTATTTGGGTTCCAGCCTCCAAAAATAAATGTCAAGTGGTATTTTATTGAAAAAATTTTCCACCTGATATTAACTTAGGATGTCAGCTATAAACATTATACATTTACATTAATTTATGTATGCGATAAGCAACCCTTGTTATTTAGAAGTTTAAGTTAAAGATAAAAATTCCAAAATTTAATACAATTAAGATAAACGCTGCAATTAATATACAGTACAGTGCATAACATACAGTTTAATTATTTGTTTATTATATTCTTTATACATAATTGATTACCTGATGGCGCCGTTGCTATTGGCTTCGACGCTTGATCATGGGTTATGGTCATCTGTTATATATAATTACTGAAGCTAAGCTGGTGTTAATTACCTGCAGCGGAAATCAAATCCACGACTGTAGTGATAAAATCTTGTACTTGCGTCACAGAAGACCGGCGTGAAGGAGAAGTGTTTTAATTCCGCGTTTCGTCTGGGAAGTGAGGGGCAGTGCCGGATTAACGAACGTCAGTTCTGTACTGATAGTTATTAAAAAGTTATTTAAGCTTACAACCACCTATCGTAAAATATTTTTATTTATATATCAAATAAAGTGATTTCATTTTTAGACGATTCTAGATCTTGATTTTTCAAGCGGAGTGGATGATAACGAATTAGAAAGATGCGTTCGAAAAGTTGTAAAATACAGCGTAAAAACCAACAAAGCTTCGTTCAGAAACCAGTTGTATGGTGGCACAGATCCTTATGGCCTATCAGGTGCCTGGATTTCCGAGGCTTTCAATACCAGCCAGTATGTATATATTTGTAAAGTATGACAGCTCACGCGAAATCTTTTTTTTACTATGTTGGTAAAAAGTCTGTGTACTAGAAAATATCATAAAAAATCTGTATATAAATTTGATAATTATGGTAAAAAACTATGAACACTTTTCGTAATAACTGTTTGAAACAGATACTAGAACTGAGTGTAACAACATATTCTAACAGAAATCTTTGTAAGTAAATTAAAAATAATTAAGCTTATCGAAAATATAAAAGTATAAAAGACCAACTTTAAATTCTTTACAAATTACTTATAATACTTAGTGTCACATTCTATTATTACGCGTGCATTATAATCATGAATTTGAATTTTACTTGTTATTATAATTTTGTCCTTTTAACGTTATGTAGGCCGCATTTAAATATCATTTGCATGCTTTTCAAAAAAACGGGTAGAACGTGAATCGATAAAATAAATAACGCATAAATAAACATACAGTGCTGGTGAGAGTAGTTCCATTTGTGAGGTTATTGAACTGTAGTAAGACAATATTTTTTTTAATCTTAATGTCACATTGTTAAATGAATTTATTTTACAAATTTCATCCCGTCGTTCACGGGATCATTAACGCTTTTAAATATCAATAATACGTTAAATTAATACATTAAATTTGACCATTAATACATTAAATTGTATTTATAGAGTAGTATACACTGTAAATCGATTTTCCCAACGAAAAAAATTAAAACATGTTTATGATACACAAACTATATTTTGTTTAATATCTGCGTTTAAATATATGTATAAAAAATCAAAATAAATTCTTAATGTAGAAACTAAACCTCTATTATTAACTTCTTTTTACCTCCTCTAAAAAAACTTTGTATGTTAAAGTACCTCGAACCGTTATTCTTGAATATTAGAAAACACTTTTGGAGTAAGTCTTCTAAATAATTAGAAAGTCCCCAATATGGGGTATATTGGGGTCCAAGTTCCACCCAAGGAATTTTGGGACGCAGCGTCACCTGCCACGACATCCACTACGTCTTCGTGACTTCTATGCTGTTGGCAAACCAGCTGTAGTTCCTCGGCCACGCAGAACACAGGGGAGTACCGGACTACGTCGGCAGAAATAAGGCGGGCTATACACCCACGACCATATAATATACATATATTATATATTTTTGTGAATCTTATAAATATACATTTTTTGTAATTAATGTGTTGACGGTTTGTTTCGCATTAAGTTTCCTCGTAACATAATATATTTTCTACTGGATTTTGAGGAGTTTCCAGAAGTATCTCAGGAGTCTAAGGTCTAATATCGATGAAGCTAATATGGCTAAACCAAATCCAATGCCAAAAAGTTTATATTTCAAATATAGGTTTACAACAAACATTAAAAATACAACAAAATTAAGAACCACTCCCTTTATTAAAACTATTAATGTTACAACTGTTGTAAGTCACATAATTTTTGGACCCATGCAGAAATCGAATAAATACGTACTGAGGTTCGGCCTTCTCGGACACCCTCGAATCGTAATGCTAACGGGTACTGAGTAACAATAGTAATAACTAAAGTCTTCAACCAATGTGTGTTGCCAGTGATGCCATGCGGAACTGAGATGTGGTCCTTCACTGCTGGTCGTATGAGGAAGCTCAAAGTCGCTCAGCGAGCTATGAAGCGGGCTATGCTCGGTATTTCTCTGCGTGATAGAGTTCGCAACGAAGACATCCGCAGTAGAACCAAAGTGACCGACATAGCTCGTAGAACTGATAACCGCTGGGGAAGAAAGACAAGGATGCAATCCAGTGGCTGATCCAGCCAAAAAAAATTGCAAGGGCGTAGTGGATCTTCTCTATTCTTAATGATCCTGCTTCTTTTAACTACTTAAAGGAGCAATTTCAATATCTCTCCCTCACGATAGAGCACCTAGTTCTTCAGCCAGTAGAAATACTAGTTCAAAGCATCCTTCCGGCTTCTGCCATAATTTTTTTACTATTCAGGCTATACTACTCTGGAACTCCTTGCTTTAGTTGTATATGTATTATTATATAGGTATATAATAAATGTATACAGAGACATAAATACGAAGAATAAAGTTGGTGACTGTATACAATGTTCTCTTTTATTTATTTTCTTTAATTTATTTCGCGTACTTTGTTTTGCATCTGCGTCAAATTCTCTTTACTCCCAGCGATGACTGGAAGAATGCATATAAGCATTAAGTTTGCCTTATGTTTAGTCTTAACTTAGGGTGTAGAAAATAAATTTTTAAATAAATAAATAAATGATAGTAAGTGATAGTAAACCTGTCTGTTGCACCGGGAGATGTTTGTTCAATCCCACTATTCGAAAAGTATTGTGTGATGAACATAGTGTTTTTCGAGTGTCTGGGTGTTTGTAAATTTATAATAAGTATTTATCTACGAAAGAAAAGTATGTTTAAGTATGTTTATCAATTACCTAGTACCACAAAATCTTTTCAAGCACAACAAGCTTTGCTTAGTTACCTACGGATAATATCGTCTAAAACTATGTCCAGAAATGACAGGGGGAAGTCAATGATGTTTTAATAAAGACGACGCATTTCCATACTGCGCGGCGTTTAAAAGTTGTTCCGCTTTACATTATTAAATGACATATAAATGTGAATGTGAAAGATGATATAGAACGTATGATACGGAAAGAGATAGCACTCTATAGAGTTGCATTTGACCACTAGTCATGGATAAAAATGTACGAAACAGAAGAGAAATTACACCAATTGGCGTAATGTGAATGCCTCAGTTGCGCTAGTATCATATCTGAATTCGTATATAATGTGACCACTTTAATGATTGCGTTATCCGTGCCATACTCATAATTGCTTGTTATACATGTTTCAGATAAAGATTTTTCTGTGAGTTTTGTTCTCTTGTATGTAGTAACATTACCGTTACTAAAGATTTGTTGAGATGTTTCCTTTCAACTGTCTTTACTTTTACACCCTTATTGTCAGAGGTGTGAGTTAGATTAAGACGTTCTCGATTCCAGGTATACTTTCGAAGTAGCCCCAGCGTTTACGCTTGTCGAACTTAAAATGTTGAACCACATTCTGCGCCTGTTCGGAATTCCCAACGGTGATGGCATATTTAGTCCAGGCGGTTCGATCTCAATTATGTATGCGCTTGTGGCAGCCCGGTACAAAGCCTTTCCTCAGGTGAAGAGCAAGGGCGTGAGGGATCTACCAGAACTGGTCATTTTCACCTCCGAGGATGTAAGCAATTTGTTACTTCTACTATGGCTAAATTTGCATCCTAGAATGATACATGTAATTCCGACGACAAAGACGACTAAGTGATCTACCGGTAATAACTATGTATTCAAATCCTGCAAGATCCTCTTTAGTGGTCATCTTAATTTTTACTAAGACGCGACACTATCTCTATTTATTTTCTCGTATATAGATAATTGTTCCGGATCTGGGTGTTTGTTTCCCAAGGCAGACAGGCGGCGGGTCGTAAAAAACATAAGCAAAACCGCCTACTGATTTACATGTTGTGCCGATCGCACCTAAGTCGGATAAGGGCAGGAGGATGATGATGGTGACCCTACGGCTGTGGACGTCATCAGAGGAATAACCTATATAAATTAGATCGAGTCATAATTAACTCCCTATGCAACTAAGTAAAATCTTTTATTCGTCTACCCGCAAAAGTACCGGGACAATAAATTTCGTTGAAGATACATATAATATTTTGTCTACTGTTTTGTGGGATGAAAATTACGATAAACTAACTTTTTCTTAACCTCCATAGTGTTGAAGTGTTAAAGTAACAGCGAAGAAAATCGGTAATATTACCGGTGATAGACCGATAATTCTGGCAGTAAGATATTAAATAAATATAATTTGATTAATAAATAAAGAGCGAAATGAATGTCTGATTACAAAACGGTAGTTACTTTTTTTTTATGTGAAAAGTTACCAAGCGAGCTGACGGTCCACCTGATGTTAAGTTAATACCGCCGCCCATGGACATCGTGCTATACCCGAGGGTTGCAGGTGCGTTGACAACCTATTGAAAATTGGGCACCGGCTACCTGACTCATCAGACGAAACGCGAAAGTATTATACTTCCACTTGACACCGGTCTTCTGTGAGGTCGTGGTATTTACCCGGACGAGCCTGCTCATTCGTGGAACAGCCGAGGCTGCGTGGCCCTACCACCGTGAAATTTACGACCTAACCTAAGGATGTATATACATAACATACTGTTTATTATACATCTTTTAGGGGATGGGCTCCTTTTATATTATGCCCTTCCTATACAGACAAGTTTACACAAGCGTTCTAATATTTTTCCTTTCCTTTTTTAAATGGCTTTAAACAATATTGCAGAGTCACTATTCACTCATGAAAGGTGCACATTGGCTGGGCTTTGGTACCGACAATGTTAAGCGGATCGCGACTAATGAAATTGGGCAAATGCGCCTAGATAACCTTGAGGCAGCAATATTGAGAGAAAAAGAGCTTGGCAAACAACCAATCATTGTGAACACAACTGCTGGCACTACGGTTCTCGGTGCCATAGATAATCTAGAAAGCGTTGCGGAAATATGTGAAAGACACGGCATTTGGATGCACGTCGACGTATGCATTTATTTTGATTTGTTCTAATGCATGTTTAAAATTAATTGCTCTATTACTCATAAAGTATGTTTTGCATATTTCTAAAAAGAACTCAGTGTAATGCAGATTTTAATTTTGATTTGCATTTAAATAACTTCATGGTTGTTGAATTTCAGGCTTGCTGGGGAGGAAGTTTAATGTTGTCGCCTAAATACAGAAACGGATTAAAAGGCATTGAAAGGTAAGTTGGTTTGAAACGATGTACATAAAAGTTGTTATTTTACAAAGACAAGATTTTCTTCTATAATTTTTACGTCTTCTCAAACGCTTATTACTTAGACACATATCTCTCGAAATTGCCTTTATTATTTGTAAGTATTAGTAGTTTAATGACACAAGTAGCCTTAGCTATTTTCCTAATTGATGAAGCTCTTTATATTCAAAACACATAATCCAATGAAGAATAATCCAATGAAGAACAATTAATTGACATTTCACCACATCAATTTATTTATAGAGATTCTTCCTCGAATTTATTAAATAAAATATTATTTTGCATGCCTCCAGGGCGAACTCCATTTCTTGGAACCCGCACAAGATGGTCGGAGCGCCGCTCCAATGCTCCGTTTTCCTAATCCGCGAGAAGGGTCTTTTGCACGCGGCTAACTGCGCCTCCGCTCAATACCTTTTCCAGCAGGATAAGTTCTATGACGTCAGCTATGATACTGGAGACAAGAGTGTTCAGTGCGGTCGTAAGGTTTGTGTTTAACTCAAAATGTACGTAAATTTATGGTAGAGTTACTCACTAGCTAGAGCTAGGCTTCACTTTAAATTTATAAGGTTAGTCAGATACGTTTATAAACACTTGTGTGGCTTGGGTTACGAAATTGATCACCATTACATCCCTGTTGATGATGGTGATTCTGACCGATTTCGGCCATAGTGACCTCTTGAACTCCGTGAGTGAGGTAGCCTAGCCCAATTTTCAAAAGGTTGTCAACGCATCTGTAACCCTCGGGTGTGGCAGACGTCCATGGGCGGCGGTATTTACTTAACATCAGGTGAACCGGCTGCTCGTTTGACAACTTTTCGCATAAAAAAAAATGTTGAAATTTACATTGAAAAAAAAACACAAGGAGGTAAAAAAATATTTCGAAGATGTGTGAAGTCCGCCAAACGGTATTAGCAGTGGGCCAGCGTGGTAGACTACCTGTGAGGGTTACAGATGTGTTGACAACCTTTTGAAAATTGGGCTCCGGCTACCTCACTCACCAGACGAAACGCGAAAGTATTTGCCATACTTCCACTTTATTCTGGTCTTCTGTGAGGTCGTGGTACTTACCCGGACGGGCCTGCCCATTCAAGCAATAGCCGAGGCTGCTGCGTGGCCCTACCACCACATGTCGTAGTGACATGTAACGATGTTTAGACGCTGAAAGTTGTGTGTCACGGTCGAGAAAAAAATGGAAAATGCCGCCTATATGAGCCGCTATAACTGATGTGCATAAATGCTTCTTACGTTTTTTTTTTTAAATTCAAATGTAGTCAGCACTATTACATTATATTACTAGCGACCCGCCCCGGGTTCGCGCGAGTGCAATGTATTATATATATAAACCTTCCTCTTCAATCACTCTATTTAGTAAAAACCGCATCAAGATCCGTTGCGTAGTTTTAAAGATCTAAGTATACATAGATACATACAGACAGCGGGATGACTTTGTTTTGTAGTATGTAGTGATTATTATACACGCTATTCGAATATAACAAGAACTTTTCAGATCGACGCGTTCAAGCTGTGGATGATTTGGAAGGCGCGCGGCGATTCGGGGCTCGGTTTGCTCGCGGACCACGCGATGGAGATGGCGGAGTACTGCGCGGAGGTGGTTGCAAATAGACCGGGTTTTCGCTTGGGTGACGGCCCGGCCGCAGTGCCCAAACGTTTGCTTCTGGTACATACCAACATTCATGCGGGCTAAGGCCGAGGACACAGAGTGGTGGGAGTTGATGCACAAGGTAAATTTGGCTAGGCTTAATAGAAGAAATTTGGACAATACGTTGTGGTTTCTTTTAGAAAATACAGGGAGATTTTTTGAGAAGTGCCCAAATTTACACAGGAGGTTCAAACTCGGTAGTATAATCGGTTATTGAAATAAAAAACAAAGATTTTTTTTTTAAAAATGGCATTATATTCCCTAAAAAACAGAACGTGTTGACAATGCGGTAGCCATTCAGAAATACCTAAATTTTACTGTGCACGAACTTGTGTGCTTGTTAGTTATGAATGATCGCGCGTAAAATGAATGAGTTGCGTATAAGTGAGGCACTTTTTGAGATAAGTTCAAATTAATGTAATTAACTACTGACGACTGATTTTCAATATTTATCATTTGTATATAATATTATTCATGTCTAGAATTTAATAAAAAAATGGATAAATTAGAAAGGCCACCCTGTATATTGTAAATATAGTCTATGGAGGAAGTGTATGTTCAGCAGTGGACTCAGGGCTGAAATTATGATGATGATGATGATTGTAACACTTTTCACATTGATAACAGTGAAAGGAAAGTATATAGATAATATTTTATCGATAATTCTGTTATTGCTTTTCATTATGGATTTATTCGACACTACCTATATTGACGACTATGGCACTTTGTCACTTTATGTTTTTGTTCTTTGCCCAGTGTAGTGGTCTCGTTGATGATATATTATGGGCTTTAAGTATATAGAAAAACCTCTTAAATTCTTAAGTCTTAAATTTTTTTATGTCAGAAGGTGGTAAACGGTCTGGCGGTTCACCTGATGTTAAGAGATAACCGCCCGAAACGCAGAAGTATAACACTTACACTTGTATAACAGTATAACACTTACACTCCCCCACTGACGTATATATATAACATAAGAAACACAAACTATAAGTATAACACTTACACTCCCCCACTGTCTCCCTTGATTTTCTGTGAGATCGTGGTACTTACCCGGATGGAGCTGCTCATTCGTGCAACAGAGAAGAGTGTTGCGTGGCCCTACCGTTTGCGCATAACCAGCCCTTAAATACAAATTGCTTACAATGTGTGCATTTTGGTATTGCTTACACTACTTGCTTGGTCATAGGTTTCGCAACAACACTTACATAATTTATATTGATTGTTTGATACTAGGAGTATTTCTAAATGAAAATAATAGGAGAATCCCTGCAACTAACTAGTTTTCGGATCGGAATATTAAGCATCACCGTGCTCTTCCTCTCACATTCCATGATTCTCCTATACGTAATAATTGTTCCTCAGATAACAAAGAAGATAAAAGAGTTAGCGATGGTGAGCTCGCGCCTGATGGTATCCTACACGCCACTGCGTCAGCACAAGAACTTCTTCCGACTGCCGTTTACCTTCCACCCGATGCTGGAGAAAGCCGACGTCCTGGACATGCTTCAGTCTATAGAGGATTGTGGCGAACAGATCACCCTGGCTATGTTGTAATATAAGACCTAATATTGTAATATGAAGATTTGGTGAAGGATTGGCTTTGATTATATTGTTATTTTTAATTCAGCAAACATACATATTTCATTCTTTGTGATTTAATTTCATTTATATAAATTACGCCCACATGTAATATTGCACATGAACCATTTTTCCATCCTATCCTATCTAAAGATGCATTTGGTTACTGGAGATCGAATTATGACGTAAGTATGAGTCAAGGATGAAACCGATGAAGGAAAAAATCGTGAGGAAACCTAGATATTTTCTAAATAACGAAAAATTCGAAGGTATCTGAACTCTGTCGATCCGCAGTGCGGTCTCGTAGTGGACCATGCCCTAATACCTTCTGTAAAGAGAAGGCCATTGCCCAGTAGTGGGACATATTATATTGGCTGTTACTTTACTTTTTATGAAACAGCAGCACGGTTGTAGTTACCACACGTGGACGAAACACAAGAACATGACAAATTCCACTCGCTGATTTTGTTTGAATAATCGCGACTTAGCCGATCTGCTGACACAGCAGAGGTATTACTTGTGGCTGTACCAACATAGTGGTACCAGAATAAAAGTCCATAGTTTTCTTAGCAATTTAATAACGTCATAACAAACCACGATCAGAAATGACGTACAATTATCAGAAGGCGACGTTCTGTATGATCCACGGTAGGTACTTGTCTACACGCGTGTACAGACCGGGGTGCTGGGGCTCCCCACAGCGTACACCCCACGACACAACTCCGACCACAGCCCAGCGGCCGCTCGACATCTGGTACATCAGTGGTCCCCCACTGTCTCCCTGGACGTACAACATTATAATTATTATGATTTAATTAATGACAATGAAATTGTGGTGGCTTAACTGTGATAGGGCTACGCAACAGTTTTCACTGTTGCACGAATGGGCAGGTCTGTCCGGGTAAGTACCACGACCTCACAGAAGACCGGCGTAAAGTCGTGTTACACTTCTGCGTTTCGTCTGGTGAGTGAGGTGGCCGGGGCCCACTTTATTTAAAGGTGACAACGCATTTGCAACCCTACCAGTGTTGCAAATGTCCACAAGTTTGGCAACATGTCACATTAAAAAAAAATGTAAGCATAGTACCTGACAGGAGTCCTTGCCGCCTTCGGGACCGCCCGCGCAAATGTTCTCCTCGAAGACGGCAGCTGTGAAGGATTCGGTGCATTTCTTATGCTCCCAAATTGGCACGGACACCTCCATTAGCACGTTGCTGTGGGGCCCGCCGTAGAACTTTGTCCCCCAACCTGTGTATGGCCAATTTTACGTCTATAATGTACAAAGTATCACTACATAGTATAAAACAAAGTCGTCCCGCTGTCTGTCTGTCCCTATGTATGCCCAAGCCCCGAATCGCCGCGCACCTTCCAAATCATCCACAGCTTAAACGCGTAGATATGGAAAGTTCTTGTCATATTTGAATAGCGTGTATAATAATCACAACATAGTATAAAACAAAGTCATCCCGCTGTCTGTCTGTCCCTATGTATGCTTAGATCTTTAAAAATATGCAACGGATCTTGATGCAGCTTTTTACTAGGTAGAGTGATTCAAGAGGAAGGTTTATATGTATATATATATGTATATGTATATTTATAGGTACATTGCACCCGTGCGACGCCGGGTTGGGTCGCTAGTAACTATATAAACTAGATGGCAAGCGGTGGATGATGGCTCTAGTTATCGAACTGAATTAAAAAGTAGGTTCGTGCTATGAAATGTAATTGTTTAATATTTTCAATTTTAATACTTAAAAAAGGAGGTTCTCGATTTGATTGTATTTTTCTCGTGTCACATTTTTTTCTTTATGAATAAAATAAAATATTGTCAAAGCATGCTTTAACTTATGTTCCAGTGTGGGGCGAAGACTCTCTGTACAGAGGGCATTAGTACTCCACGCGATCCCACTGCGGATTGGCGGACTTTCCTTTACTTGAAGTATTCTTCCTAATGTTTTCATACACCACTGAGGATTTGATAAGTCAGCACTTAAAATTGACGCATTTATGAATGACTACCGCATTGTCAACAAGTTCTGTTTTTTTCAAGTTTTTTTTAAACTAAACAGTTTGTTTTTATTTCAATATACGATTATACTACCGAGTCTTAACCTCCTGTGTGAATTTGCGCATCTTTAGAAATTATTAGTTGGATATAGTTATTTGCTTTCTCTTGTTTTTCTCCTGCCCTTATCCCTATGTCTATTGGCTAGTGTTTTTTGCGACCGCCGCCCGGCTGTCGCTAGCCTAACTTGGGAACAAACATCCAGTACAAACGAACAAATTAGAGGGTCACACAAATACTTAAGCCGCTCCCGTGTGGCAATCAAACCTATGAAACCCGGCGCCGAAGCCAATGGCTCTGCAACTGCGTCACTGAGTCATCATATTAAAGCACGTTATTGTCTTTATATGTATGCATAGGGAATCGGGGGACATTGTGTGTTTTTCTGATAACGGTGGTAGGGCCAAGCAACAGTCTTCTCTGCTTTACGAATGCGTAGATCCATCCGAGTTATTACTGACCTCACAGACACCGGCGTGAAGTGAAAGTGTTATACTTCTGCGTTTCGTCTGATGAGTGAGGCAGTCGGCGCCACACTTTGTTAAAAGGTGGTAACGCATCTGTAACCTTACGAGTGTAAATGTCAATGGGCGGCGGTTATCACTTAGCGTCAGATGGAACACCAGCACGATTGCCACCTAAAAAAAATGTGATAATTTATTTTTTATTTTATTTATAAAAGGTACACCAAAAACATGTTCAAGTTACAATAAAAGGTTAGAATTAACTAAATTAATTAAATTAACACATGAACACATCAATAACAGGCGTACACATCATTCACGAATAGTAAATACATACGTGCCATACAAGAAACTAATATTGAAACTATAAAATATAATAACTAATATAGAAAGGTAACAAATATACATATTAACAAAAACATTACAAATATTACTCGGACGATTCATAAATGTTTAAGTATTTTTTTAAGTTCTGAATTAGAATAAGATTGATAAGCGTTAGTTACCAATCACTATCGCCATCTCATCGACCAGGTCGAGGTTCGCTGGTGGGAGGCAGATCGGCCACACGTAGGTGTTGAAGACAGCGGGCCGGTGCAGCTTGAGGATCGCGATGTCGTGCATGTAGTTGGACATGTCGAAGCCCTCGTGCTGCTTTATCTCCACTACCCTGAAGTTGTACGTCCTGGAGTCGTTGGTCCGCTTCAGGTCGTACTCGCCGAGCCGCACGAACAGCTCATTGGCTTTCCATCTGAAATTATATTTGAACTGGGCATTAAACGGATGATTAGTTAATCTGATCACAATGTTCTATTGAATATCGTGTTATAACGCTAGAGATGACGCAGTTGCCAAGGTATCGACTTCAGCGTCGGGGGTCGTGGGTTCGATTCCCACACGAGGCAACAGTTTGTGTCACCATCAGATATTTGTTTTAAAACGAAGTGTTTTTCCACGTGAAACTTACGTATGTAAAGCGTCCTTACAACACAGGATCCTACAGTACGGGTGAATGGTTTTGAACGGAAGAGTACAATAGACCTTTCTATGTCGCAGTGATCGTTGGGATCTTACTACCCAATTTTACAAAACCAAAATAAACCCTGATAGAGGCGGGCATCTTCCGATGGAACATTAATGTCCGTTGATATAGGTCACGCACTGCTATACTGTTTTCCCTGATGATGTATAGCTAACCATAACACGTACATCAAATGGTTGGCAATACTGTACGTATCTATGGTTTGAGAATCATTGGCTCGTCTACCGACACCCGCGGCCACCATTGCACATTGAACAAATAAACAAACACCTGAGCTCGTAGCCCTTACCGGAATAAACGCCTAATTCATGAAGGAGCCACGTTCTCGGCATAAACTGTATGTGTACATCCCGTTCGAATGTACACATACAGATGACTCCGTGGCGCAGTTGCCAAGGTATTGGCTTCGGCGTCAGGGGTCGTGGGTTCGATTCCCACACGGGACAACTATTTGTGTGACCCACAGATAGTTGTTTCGCATCTGGGTGTTTGTCTGCGTGAAATTTATGTTTGTAAAACGACATTACAACACAGGATAATATTATCCTAGAGTAATGGCAATGTTTTTCAAATAATAAAAAAAAATAAAATTAAAAATGATGTGGTGTCGTGTGTCACCAGGTAGGAACGAAGTTCCTTCGGCTAATGTAGAATCGACACAAATTGCAAAAAAAATCGTGCTCAATTTTATGTAGGTTTTCTTGATTTTTCTCTTAAATTTTGCTGATTAGTTTTTATTTAAGTACAAGAAAGTATTTAGGAAATTCAGTATTTTAGGAAATAATAAATTACTTAAAATAAAAAAAAAACATCGTAATTCAAATTATCAACTAAAATAACAAAATTATACACTACTCGCTTGTGTATGCGACTGTCGCGCCTGCGCACGTCTCATTTAACGGTTTTATTCCACGCACTTTTTTCCACAGATTTTTTCTTACGGTTTTACTATCACATTTTTTTCAGTTCGGTCGCGCAGCAAAATCCCTATCCCCTCCAAGCCTGCCGTAAGGAACTTCGTTCCAAGAACTTCGTTCCAAAAAAATATTACATTTTTAGACATATTTTGTTTGAGTATGAAACGAGGCGATGACGGTCGGAATGTTTTGAATGTTCGTTGTGAACAGTGCATGCATATGTAGAAATAAGACAAATTGTTCATGTAGAGAATGTTTTTTTATGTTTTCTTCCTGATTATCACGGTTGAAGTATTTTACCGTATTAAAAATGATTTGTATTGATTTAATTAATATGGCAGTATTTTTTTCACCATAAACCGGATCATCGAGTACTAAAATTGAATGATGTTATCAATTGAGCGCGACTTTGGTAATGGTAGCAGAAGATGGTGGGAGCGGTACCTTTTTAGCATTGAATGGTGTCACCAACCTTCTCGTGCAGTGCGCCGCGGTGAGAACGTGGCGGTCGGTTATCAGGACCCCGCCGCAGTATTGCTCGAAGCCTTCGGGGGTGATGGACGCCATCCAGGGCCAGTCCCGGGGGTTGCCGGGGCGGGCACCCACCACTCTGCCCATAGGCCGCGTGCTCAGACCGCATCCTTTATAATAGAAATGTTGGCAAGCTAGCAGCAGGGGTCATATGATGTTAAGCGATTAACGCTGCCTAGGTACACCTACAACAGCTGAGGTGATGCGTTGCCGACCATTAAAAACCTATTAATCATTCACGTAGCGCTTTATTGGTAAAGATTTCAGCACCACAGTTCAGTTACATACTAAACACATACATACATATAAAGAGTTTTTTATTTAAAAAAATACATAGATTTACGTTACGCTTTACGTTTAGATTATTATAGTGCTGACATTACGAGAGAACGTCACGAATGATCCTATAGAATAGCTCCTATATAATTAAAACAACATGACCTGAACTTAATTTCTTATAGTCAGGACAATTATTTGTTTTATATAAGCCAATGTATGGCCATGCCATGTTCACAACACGATTTTAATACAGTGGCACTGTTGTAACACACACAACGACACTGTGTATTTACTCAACATAACTAAAATCGGGCCATATCAAACCTCTGTTTTCGGCGCGAACAATCTTACTGATGACTTGGGATTCGTCTTTTGATGCGGTCGCGGGTAGTTCACCAGCCAAAGCCTCCGGGCCAGACTCATCCGGGCAGCACGCTCCTAAAGAACTGTGTAATAAAAAGTTGGATATTTATTTAAAAGTGCGAGGAAAACAATCCAATTTTGTATAATAGAAGAATTTGGGCTAACGAAACACTGGTATATTATATAAATTATGTAACTGATGGTAACCTTTTCATTTCAAGCTGTCTTAAGCATCTGTATTTACCCAAACTATCATATAAGTTGTAACAAACACTGAATTTTGATTGGAAGACACGACTTTGCCGAGACATTTAAAAATTATATGTTTACTTGAGAGCCTTATTAATGGTAGGATATATTGTAATAGAGGAATATACTCACGAGTGTTTTATAACGCAAAGGTAATCCATATACTTCATGAAATCAGTTTTGAAATCCTCCAAGACGCAGTGCTGCACATGCCTACATCGGCCTCTTTTACCTTTTGGCGTTACGCATACCTGGTAAGCTATATTTGGCTGAAAAAGCAATTGAATTTAGATCTATTATCATCATCATATATTTCTTATTTTCAATCGACTTCAAGATCCTTTCTTGAAGTCAAGTCGTGGTTCTCAATTTCGTTGTATTTTTAACATTGTTACCGTAGAAGTCTGATTTTAAAAATTCTTTTTGCATTGGGTTTAGTTTAGCTCCTATGTGGTTCCATATATTTGCATTATTATTGGAACTTGAATCCCGGAGATAAATCAGGGAAATCAAACAGAAAATGTATAGTGAGTTATGTATTTGAAGTCGGTTTTGGTTTTGTTAATAAAAATTTAAGTACTTGTTTAAATAACGACATTGTTTTAAATATAAGGCATCTCATTCATACCTAGGGACAGCAGGCAAGAACCAAATCGAATAAGGTAAAAAAATGCGAAAAGCGTATTCTTCAGACTATTAATTAAATTTTAAAAAGCGTATAAATCGAGTTTTAAGACAACGTATCGTCGTAACGACGCGATTAAAATATTAACGTTGATAAAAGACGAAAGAAAAAGGAAACCTTTGAGTATTTTTACCAAATACATATTTAGCGTACCAAGAAAGGGGCGGTGCGACAATGAAGCAACGCGTTTCATCCGAGACAGAGAGTAATAGTAGTAATGGTGACATAAAAAAACGTTTCCGTCCATATCTATCACATTTATTGCTTTAATGGCGTGTTCCATGTGAGCCTTTGATTTTTCTTACGTAAGATATACCTAAGTGTCGTCGAGCCGTCGAGCATCAATCAAAAGGTGTTCTAAAGTAACACAAACGCGTGGGCGAAGTCCTATTGGCGCCAGACGGCAACGCTCACGCTCACAATTAAATACATTGCGGGCTGAACTCTCTCTTATTCGAATTCGACACTTGAACGTCTTTCGCTAGACCGTAAAGCTTCGAAATGACCGCCATTTGCATTTAAGCTTATCATCGTTCTTGGAAACGGATTTGTGTTTTTTGTTAAAATTTAGTGCAGTGATACAAAAAAAGTAGAAATGGTCCGACTTTTGTTGCATAGCTTGAGGTCAACAACAGTCTCAAGGAGGAGTTGAGAACTCTCAGCTAATAGGAACTTTTTAGAACTTTTTAAGAACTTTTCATCTTTCTATCATAAATCATCGAATCGGTAAATACAGATTGAAAATTTCTTTACTATACGGGAAGTATGTCTATGTAGTTTGTTGAAACTTAGTTTGAATATTATTTTTCAGGTTCATATAAATATAGTGACATGTATTCAGTCTTACATTAGGTTAATTAAATATAACATTTGAATTTTAATATTAAATCATAAATATACACGGCGTGTCTAAGCTATGCGTGGGTTCGATTCCCACACGATACAAGAAAGTTCTGGATCTGGGTTATTCCCAAGAAAGATTGACGTCAGGCAGGCGGCTTATCCCAAATCTTGCGAATATCATTAACAACATGATTCACTTATTGTGCCGACCCCGCCTAGGTGGAATAGGGGCAAGACGAAAAAATGCGTGAGTGTCGTGGTTCCTTCGTTCCAATACCCGGTTTGGAACGAAGTTTCTTTTCGTAGTATATTATTATTTACTGATAAACGTATATTTCTAAAAACTAAAAATTCTGTCCACTGTGCCAGTACTGTTTACGGTTGTTCTGATAACGGTTTAATTAACTAAATTGGAATTATAGGTCAAAAAGATGGTTACTGGTTGCCATGATATTGTCGTGACGGAAAAATTCTCACCCATTTTTATGCATAATCCCAATTTTGTTACATACAAATACGAAAAATTATAAAAAATCATTGCCTAGCCGCCAAATTCGTGACGTTCTATTATATAATAAAAAAAATTCTCTCATTCTTTCTTGAATCGAGATGACGACGCAAAAAAAATGTCATTAAAATCTGTCGAACCGTTTAGGAGTTTAGTGACATATACACGTACAGAAAAATTATGTATATAAAAGACAGATAAATCAATGTAGGACAAATTAAACCCTAAGCAGTACCGTGGTTGTGTTTAACCCGATGAACCGCTTTGCTCTTCCCTGCCCGATGTGCATTCCTCCCGCTGATATAACATCTTCCCACGAAGAATCCGTTAAATATGCTTAAAAAAAGGAAAAAAAATGTTGCAGTATTGACCTAGCGACAGCATATAATTGTATCACCTTATGGCTTATACCTTATATCTAATAAATAATAGTTTTGGTTCATCTCGATAAAAATCTAGTCGTACGAATTCCTGGGAAAAGTCTTAGTCATAAGCATACATCATATTAAATGTAGATGGTAAAACCATCTGTTAGCACGTTTGTTAAATTTCCAAGTTTTTTACTGAAGAAAAAAATTAAATAGCAATAAAAATAAATAAATATCGTCAATACGAACTGTCCACACCTCCACGCTGCAACCACAGCCAACAAGCCTATGGTTGCATCGTGGAGATTTTAAAATAGATAACAATATTCAATTTAGTAAATATTCAAATAGATATAGCAGGACACATTATGGTTAGAGTAACATGTAAAAGTATTATCATCACTCCTAATATGTTTATTTTATTTTGTACGGAAACTTCACAGGAGATATTTATGAAAAAAAAGGATTCGTCACTGGAAAGCAAAATTACTTAAACCAAAAATTGATTCATTAAACAATTGGCCTGTTAGTGTACTTATAGTATATTATCTACATGGAGCATGACGCATTTTTTTAGTTTAAAAAGTTTTTCTTTAGTAATTAAGTAAGTTATTAATTTTTTGTTATTATTTTTTCGTAGGCAATTTGTATACCGAGATTCATATATTTTTCCACAATGAAACTGCTAATTATTTATCTTGTCATATAATCATCCTCATAGTTAAAATTGAATCAGAGATATTGAACGCAATAGCAAGACAAACGAAACGTTAAAGATTAACGATATGTGTACTCACATTTCAAGGCATTTCCCTCAGCACCGAACGCTGGCTCATAACTCACAAAACTGACAACAAACGCTAGCAACACAACCAGCCGCATGGTGACATGCGAATCACTCCTGTTGCAGAGCGCGTTTCGCGTCCAACCTCAAACATTTAGGCCGGAGCGGATGCTGATAAAAGCAGTACCTATCGCATAATCCACAGGATGTTCCGCGCCTGATAGCAGACGCGTAATGACGGTACATCGGAATTTACTATTCTGATTCGTTTTGCCGAAATTCGCGGCAAAATGCGCGATACGAAGTATATTTTTTATAGATGGTGTATGAGCACATGGATCAATTCCCCACCGTGGATAACAACAGAAATGATGCAGATGACATTAAGGCCGTTGTTATTTCAATCTCGCGATGAATCTATTACTGTTTGTTGCATTCCCTCGGTTGAGCTAGCCAATTCATTTTCAGGAATTTTTAATAATTAATTTTGCCAGCATTAAAAGTTTCACCGCAATAACTAAGTATAAGCAAATTGGGCATTAATATATAATAGATAATTAATTACATACATATATGACTTTGAAAAGTAGGTTCGCAAATCTCTATATTAATATATACGTAATGATAACGAAATATGTTTACCATTAGAAAATATTTAACTGTCGTCACCTGAAATGTATTTCCAAGTGCTGTTTAAAATACCAACTATATTTGGAAAGGTGTGAAAAGCTGTGGGAGATGTGATGATGACACCATAGATTCAAATTTAGTGTGTTTTTAAATTCCCTCATAATATTGTTTGATGTTTCTGACTTTTAATAGTATCATCGATGAACTTTATATTTCTGTGGTGCTATAGAGTTCGAAACAGCGGCAACATAATTTTTTTACGTCATAAAATCTTTCTAAAAATGGTCTTATTTAGATGTGCATTCAATGTGTTTATTCCCTATCTTAAATATGTAAAATGTAAAATTTTTAACAGTGTTTTTGAAGACGAGAGACCTATTATTGATAATTTTGAGTTCTAAAGTTCGGGAACTTAAAGAAGGTATTAAAATCGTACTAAAAATGGCTTTATATAAAAAAAAATGGTATTTAATCAAAAACATTTTTTTTACCTTTATTCAACATTAAATCAAGAAATCTAATTACTACTTTATGCTTTTATTTTCTATTGTTTAGTTAGAAGTTTTGTGTTAATTTTTTTTTGTTGACGGATTCAGTGGTTTTACAAAAATTGCGTACAAATAAAGGTTATACAATAAAAGTATTCAATAGCTTTTGAAGGTAAGGTTACTTACCTACCGAGGTAGACTACTTCAATCCGCCTTATAAATTATTTTGTTATTATGTTACAATAGTTAACTTACTAGTAGAAATAGCGATAACGAGGTATAGAGCATAAATTGTATTGTTATTAATAAATTAACATGTGAGAATTACAACAAATGGGCCGTTAGAGAGGTAAACAGGGTCAAACCACTATTTTCAGTATCATCGTAGCTTTGGTTTATAAATAATGAAGACACTGTCATTTTGCAATTATTTTTTTAATAAGATGGCAAGCGAGCGGGCGGTTCACCTGATGTTAAGTGATAACCGACGCCCATGGACATTACAATACCCTAAGGATTGCAGATGCCTTGCCACCTTTTAATAAAGTATAACTTTTATCATGACATTAATTGATGGCTTTCTAGGGTTTTATTAAAGGCGTGTTCAGCACTACGTATTTCTCTACAAAAATATTGTATGTTTTGTTATCATTCAGACATCATCTCCGCCCTTGCGTGATGACAAGGCACAGTTGTGTTGCGAAACAGAATCTTGGCTTTCATTCCTAACTGTAATTGTTCAAGCTTACCGTATGCTAATGGACGACTATTCGCTCGCCAGCCATAAATTAGTGCACGCGCCTAATAATTGAGTGCTGGAATTAGAATAGACCTGACTAAATCACTGCGAAGGACGGACACGTTCCTATAAATAGTGACAAATATTTGTCCTTATCAGACTGACGGAGAATTTATTGGCCTCTGAGACAATTATTCGCAATCACCTGTTTGTGTTCAGTCATTGATTTTCAAAGCTACAACAAAATATTTCGCTGTAATGTATTAGTACAGTTTTTATGATCTTTACTATCATAAAAACCTGTATAGATATAAAAATTGAAATTTCATAAAAAATTGAATAGTTATTTTGTTTATATTTTATTTAATCCTTTACTGATTCTCTAAACAAATACATTGTATCTATAAAATTTGTTGTAGCAAAGTTGAGATATTTTTTTTTGACATACGTGCTATGTAATAAATCAAACCAGCCAAATACGAGCCGGATTCACGCATAAAGGGCTCCGTACCATTATCTTTATAAACGGAAAAAAAGTTTTTTTTATTAGTATTTGTTGGTACAGCGGCAACAGAAAGAAATACATCATATTTAAAAATTTCAACTGTACTATCACGGTTCACTTTCTAACCCGGATGGACCTGCCCATTCAAAGTCAAAGTCAAAGTCAAAATTTCTTTATTCAACATAGGCTTATTTTAAGCTCTTATTGAACATCAAAAACTACCACCGGTTCACTAAACTAGACCTGCAAGAGAAGAACCGGCAAGAAAATCTGCGGTCATATATGTATATTTTATTTCTATTTTTTTTAAGTATTTAAGTATACACACAAAATTATTTTAGTATAATTTAGCAGGAGCCAGGGGACTTGCAAGTGCAGAGCAAGAGTCATTTCCACACATCCTTGTCCTCAATGTATTCCTCGACATTATAATAAGCACTTTCCATTAAGGTGGCTTTTATAAAATGTTTGAAACTATTTACACTTAATTGTTTGTGGATGTCACCTATTCTATTATATAAGTTAATACATCTACCAAGAAACGATTTCCTGGTTTTAGCTAGTCTATACCTCGGTATTTCCAACGTGTCACCACGGCCCCGACGCGATGTGGTATGTTTTTTTGTAAAATGATGTATGTTATTTCGTACATACATGATGTTCTCAAGTATGTATAGCGACGGGAGCGTTAAGATGTTTATTTGTTTAAAAATATGCCGAAGGGACTCACGTGGACCCAGGCCATAGACAGCCCGTATCGCTTGCTTTTGCAATACAAATATCCAACCCCAAAGTAAGACACCATAAGACATAATAATGTGAAAGTAAGCATAATAAACTAATTTAGCTGTTGCCTCGTTTGTTAGTTGTCTGATCTTGCGTATGGCAAAGACTGTAGCGCTGAGCTTTTTAGCTAATTTATCTATATGCGCTCCCCATTGCAACTTGGAGTCAATGCATATTCCAAGGAATGCCGTTGAATCCTCAAGAGGTAGGATGTTGTCATCAATAAAGATTCCTGGTTTGTGAGACAGCTTTGTTAATGAAAATCTGATACATTTAGTCTTAGTGGCGTTCAAAAGTAAATTATTGGTCGCAAACCAGCCCGACACGACACTTAATATTTCATTTGGTTGCTCTAATGTAACATATTTCCTATTAACCTTAAACAACAGTGAGGTGTCATCCGCAAACAAAACGATTTGAGACCTTTTTTCTACCACATATGGCAAATCATTTATGTAGACTAAAAACAGAAATGGGTCCAGGATCGATCCCTGAGGAACACCCATTTGTACTATTGATCCCGATGACAGTATACCATTTATAGTTACTTTTTGTTCCCGATCGCTAAGATATGAGGAAACAAAATCAATGGCAGATTTTCGAATACCATAATATTCCAATTTCTTAATAAGAATCTTATGATCTACACAGTCAAATGCCTTGGAAAGCCCATTCGTGCAACAGTGAACACTGTTGCGTAGTCCTACAGAAAAAAATTCTTTTAAGTCCATGTTTCCAATAACTTACAGCAATCATGGTCACAGATAGGACATATATGTTAAATGTTGAAATTTATTAATTTTTATCCGATCCATGCAATCCATTTGCAGATAGCATTTATCTGTGCTTGAAGTCCTCCTGTAGTGGTGTGCTCGGGTCTGTATTATTTATTGACATCAGGATCCCAAGTCGACTTTAATCGAATTAACCACTTAAACGGTCTACCGTCTTGAAATTTTAAAGTGTGATATTACAGAGATGACCCCCATAATCGAATTCAGATTCTACGTCGTATAATAAAAGAAGAGATTGATAGGACCTAAAACCTACCTACTTATTAATAGAAAGGTGACATTTATCATTGCCGGAAAATTACGGAAAACTAGTTCAAATATAGCCGTTATGCAAATTCGGACTCGCCTTAGATTGTGAGTACATTCAGACGGCAGACGCAATATTTGGTCGCAATTAAAATACTTGTAACGTAATAAGCAGTTACACACTAGCGTTTTTATCATACTTTTTAATGAAAGGATCCGGCCTAATATATCAGTTACATAGTCGTTATCGTGGTTAAAAAAACGGGATGGGCATCCTAATTTAGAAGAGTTTTTTTAAGAGAGGTTTCTGGTTCGCTCACTCAACGTACAAAATATTAAAGTACTAGCTGCTGCCCGCGACTACGTCTGTGGAGAATAGGCTGAAGGTGTAACATTAAGACAGAAACACAGATATACATAAAACATTTATGTAAATTATAGCCTATGTCTTATTGTGATGTATAAGCTATAATATTGTAAAGTTTCATAAAATCCATTCTGTAGTATTTGCGTGCAAGAGTAACAAACATCCATCCATACATACCTACAAACTTTCGCCTTTATAATATTAGTAAGCAAAGGAACGAAACAATTTGCCGGCGTCTGTCCGTCTTATCTGTCTTCAAGGGTAAATAGGCTTAAAGTAAGTGCTGCATTTACCATCTAGCGCTGCATCGCTACTTATCATCTGGTGGGATAGCAGTCAAGCGCCAGGCTGTCCCTCATAAAAAATGTTTGCACTATTGCTCGCACGTAAGTTATAACACGTCGTTATACTTCTTTAGGGTAACAAAATAAAAATACCTAAAATTTTTATCCCGTACGCCAGTACTCTTTGTTTGTGAAAGAAAAAAACTTTAAATGCAATTGACAACGGTTTAATTAAATAACTTGGAATTGTAAGTTGTAC